GTACTTATTGGCCATTTATACATTTTATGTATGTGAAGTGTCCAACTGAGCCACTTATTTATTGATTGGACTATTTGATTTTTTGATAATAGAGTTTTAAGTTTCTTTATATATTTTGCATGTTAATCCTCTGTCAGAAGAGTAACCAGCAAAGGTATTTTTCTGTCTGTTAGCTTTCCTTTCACTCTGTTGGCTGATTCTCTTGCTATACAGAAATTTATGATGCAGTCCTTCTGCTTATTGATTCCTGTAATTTTTCCTGTCCTATTGGAGTCCTGTTTAGGAAGTCTTTGTGCCTGTGGCTTCAAGTGTTCTTATATTTTCTTCTAACAGTTTTAATATCATCATTTTTTTTTGTATTTGGTACAAGGTCTTACTAAGGAGCTTGGACACGTAGTGATCCTCCTGTTTTAGCCTCCCCAGCGCTTGCCTAAGTAGCCTCTTAGTCTGCTGAGCTATCTCGCCAGCCCTATTATCCTCATTTTTAAGGCTGCATAATCTTCCATCCAGAGGAGGTGTCACCAATTGATTAACCACTTGCTATGGTTTGGCCTACTTCATTTTTCCCACAAGTATTGTCATGCTGCAATGCAGATCTTTTGGGACATGTATCTTTTTATTTTTCTTGGATTATTTCTTTTGGATAAATTCCCAGAAGAATCATTACTGGGTCAAAGGCTTGGAACATTCTTATGATTCCTGGAACATATAGTGGCATATAGCTGTTATTTTTAGAAAAGTGAGCTCTGCCTGTTTTGGGGCACCCATGCCATATCCATCAACTCTGGGTCCCTGAGTAATCCTAGGGTGCCCTGGGTGATCCTGTGGCCCACTGTGGGGCCCACCAGAAAGTACACCTGGACTCCAGCTTCCTTCCTTTCCCAGGAAGGGAAGGGAATGGGGCTTGGGGTCTTCAACATGTGCCCTGAGAATGGCTGTCAGAGCTCCTCTATGTATGCATGAGTGTTTTTTCTAGAAGATTCACAGCTGACACCACACCCCCATATGAGGGTTCAGGGACCAGGAAGGTAATTGGAATCTCTGAAATATAAGGGCAAACAATGTCACACCAATAATGTGGGTGTAAATGACGAAGCAAGAACTTTCTGGAAAATGGGCTGTGAGGTATGGGCAGAGAGAGGTATTCCAGAGAGACCAACACCAGAAGCAGAGACAGTGTGAACAGTCCCACTACTGTACATGGAAGGGGCTGCCAACGAATGCACTGGGACATGGGACCAAAAGAAGGATGCCACCACCCTGAGGAAGTTGAGGACCGCAGCAGGTGGGGAGCCAGGAGCTGTGCTGAAGAAGGTCGGGTGCCATGGGGAAGGTAGACTGAGGAGCAGAAGCCGGGTCTAAGATAGGGAGGACTGTTGAGAGACTCAGTGGTGGGGCTAGAGACCTGCCTGGCTCCTGAGCCTCTTACCTACAGAAGATCCTAGGGTTTGACTGCTCCGTGGTCACTTCCTCTCTCTGACCTCCCTCGTCCTGCCCCATAGCCACAGCCACCTGCCTTCATCCTGTCTTCTGTGCTTAAAGGCAGCTTATTATCACATGATTTAAGGTGGGCTACCTGCTCCTTAACCATTTGAGGTTGACCATGAGGTCTCTAGAAACTAATGAGTAAACTGGTGGCCTTAAATTAAAACTACAGTGCCTTCCTTGTTATTTTTAAGGTTGGTATTTGACTTTCTGTCTTCACAAGTCATACATTGTTCTTTCAAATTGTTTTGGAGCCAAGGAGATAACTCAGTGGCTTAAGCACCTGCCTAGCAAGCACAAGGTACTGAGTTCTATCCCCAGTAGCAAAAAAAAAAAAAAAAAAAAAAGTTTTGGAAATGCACAATGTAAAAGGTGGAAGCTAATTTCCTGACCTGATGTGGACTGTCCCAGCCATCCTGGCTGCTGGCTGATGGTCTTGGAGGGTGTGGGCTGCAGCAGATGACCCTGGCTGTGGGCAGAGGCACCAGGACTGATCGGGTGTGGTGTGGGTCCCTCCCCCTCCCGAGGATCCATTGAGCCCAAAGGCCTTTCCTGGAGGCCTGGCTGCCAGGGTTGCAATGCCCTGCCCAGGCTGTGGAGAGCCCAGCACATCACCGGAACCTTCCCGAACTGTCCCATGTCCCTTCCCCGCCCTCACATATGGGCAGCTGTGCACCGTCCTCACTCCTGCGCTTGGCAGCTCCCATAGGTATGCTGGAGGAGCAGGGGCGCAGGGTGGGCAGAGCCATACTGGAAGGCAGTGTCCTCTTTCACCACCTGTTAGCACTGGACAGCACCCCCAGGCCAGGTGGTGAGCAGAGGGTGTGTTCTGCAGCAGCAGGGCAGAGCCCCTGGGCCTCGAGCCTGGAAGCTGTACCCAGCCAGGCTGCCTGGAAGATCAAGCCTTCTTTCTCAGAGACAACTGCTATCTCAACATGCTCAGGCTTTTTTTTTTCCTTTAATACTGGGATTGAACCTAGTACCTTTACACTGAGCTACATCTGAGCCCTTTATTTTTATTTTAAGGCCAGATCCCTAAATTGGCCAAGCTGGGGTTGAACTAGCAATCCTCCTGCCTCAGCCTCCCCAGTGCTGAGATTCAGCTTGTATCACCGTGCCTTACCATCACATCTTGGATCAAGTAACAGAACACCTGAGTTGCCCTGAGTACTTGCCGGGTGCCAGGCACTGTTCTAAGTTCTTTGTGATAATGAGTCTCTTAGTTCTGGTTTGCTGCCTAGGAAACAAGACACAGGGGACTCCAACAACCCACCTGATGTTACACGGGAGTGCAGCAAGGCTGGGGTCTGTGTTCCTCACCTGCCTGCTGCTGTCCCAGCCTTGATACTAGGGCAGTATTGTCCCACACAGGCGGGAACACAAATGACCAAACCAGAGAAGCCGAGCCCCAGGCCTGCACTTCCTGCTGTGTCCCTGAGGCCTGAGCTCCTCCTGCCTTTATGACTCCTGACTGCCCTTGCAGCTGGCAGGACCCTGCCTCTAGCTTTTCTTGAAAACCCTGCCAGAGTTTCACCCTTTCCATAAGCTGAGAGCTTTCTCCATCTCACCTGCAGTAGCTGAGTCCCAGGAACGGCCCCCCAGTCCTCTGCTCTGACCCTCTGGCCAGGTTGCCTGCACTTTGTTTTGTCTTTTTGAGGCAAGGTCTCACTATGCACTTCAGGCTCACTTTGTAGCCCAGGCTGGTCTTGAACTCGCAAGGTTCCTCCTGCCTCTGCCTCCCAAGTGCTGGGATTACAGGTGTACACCACACCTGGCCTGTGGCCTGCACTTTGCATGCAGTACTTGCTCTTCCTGGGCTGCAGGCCCCGGGAGACTTTGCTGCTGCTTCTCTGACTCAGGTGGAGCCTGGGCAGGGCGCACTGGGATTATTTTGGCTTCTTATTCCTGAGCTGTAATGATGCCATTCACCAAGGTTTCGGGTGTGTGTTTGCTTGTTTTGTAGTCCAAGAGGTAGAACCCAGCGTCTTTGCACCGCACTTTATCCCCAGTCCTTTTTTAAAATTTCAGCCAGAATCTCACTAAGTCATTAGATTGCTAGACTGTCCTCCAACTTGCAATCGTCTTGCTTTACTCTGTTCACCAGGTTTTTAACAGGGAGGACTGCTGTGGAAACGGAAGGGTGATTGTAACTGGTACTGCCAGCTAGTGCCAGCCCAGGCAGGTGCAGAGAGCTCATTGTAGATCCAGAGTTCCTGGGTGCCCTGACAGTCTCTCACCTGGCTGTCACCGCTGACCCCTGGCCTGGTCACCCTGGGGGTGGGCACCCAGACCACAGTTCTCAACACCCTCCCAAACACACTGTCCATAACCTGAGGGCCTCTGGGCTGTGTGCTGCAGCCTTCTGCCCACACGCTGGCCTTGCTGCTTCTCCCACTTGTCTATTCAGTCACTTTACCATTCCTCACCACAGCTCTTGCTCCTTGGCCTTTTCCACTTTCCATCCTTCAATGCTCCAGCCTTTATGTTCTTTCTCACCAGCCACCACCATTGCCTTCTTCCTAGTAGCACAGGAACAACCTTTCCCTTCCTGCCTGCCAGCACCCAGCACTGCGCCTCTGTCTCACAGGGCTTCCCACACCACACCCAGCCTTGGAGCCAGCACAGCCCCCACACCTTTCCTGAGTGTCCCTTGCAAGAGGGCCCCACACGCAGCCCTGCACTGCCTCGCCCCCCACTTGCCTCTTGCTTCTCCTCCTGGGTGCTCTGTGTCATGCACCATCCATGGATGCCCAAGCCACAGGCTTTTCTGGAAAGAGCCAGATAGTATTTTTGGCTTTGTGGGCCATATGGTTCTCATCACAACTGCTCAGCTCTGTTGTTGGAACACAAAAACAGCCAGAGACAATGTGTAAACAAATGAATTTGGCTGGGTGCCAATGAAACTTTATTTATGAATACAGGCAACACTCAGAACGGTCCACAGACTGTAGTTTGTTGACCCATTGAGCTGCGGTGGACTTTTAAGGTGGGTTTCTCTACTTCTGCTGAAGTACTTGCAGGACCAAGAACTGGTGTCATTTCTATGTGTGCTTTGAGCACACAGCTCCTCTTGCAGGAATGCCCCAGCTTTGGTGTGTTTCTCTCCTTGGTGCCCCCTTTCTCATAGTCCTCTGCTTTCTGCCTCTGTCACGGCAGTATGGCCTCATGCTATCCTGGGCTTGGTCCTTGTGACCCATGCTGCTATATGACCTGAGTGCTCTGGTGGAACTTGCTGGTATTTGTGTCCATGGCCCCTGGCATATCGTGGCATCTGTGTTGGAGTCTGTTTTGTGAGTGATGGCTCTGTGGTGGCCTGGTGGGTGACAGGGCAATCCAGCAGTGAGGGCTCCGCGTAGGGTTGACATAGCAATGGTCGCACTTGTGGGGAGAGGACGCAGAGCTGGGTCTTCTTGGTGGTATTTCTGATTCTTGTCAGCAGCCTGAAGGCACGTCACTGGGCTAAGGGAGCTTTGTTGGGGCCAGAAGCTGCCTGGCCTGGCCTTTGGCCTCCCCAGGGAGGTTCATGGGGCTCTGTAGAAGATCTGAGCAGCTTCTGCTGGCGTGGCTTCCTGTGAAGTATCTGAAGTTGGCCCTGAGGAGTGCAGGCCTGGCCCACTTCCCCTACAGCCCTGTCTTCTCCCTGCAGGAGAACCTCATGCTCTCCATCCTGCCCAAGCATGTGGCTGATGAGATGTTGAAGGACATGAAGAAAGATGAGAGCCAGAAGGACCAGCAGCAGTTCAACACCATGTACATGTACCGGCATGAGAATGTCAGGTATGCTGGCTCAGGACCTCCCTGGGAATCTGTCAAGCACTGTGGGTTGTCTTCCCTGGAAGTAGGGCAAGGTCACCCCATGGCATGGGCCCTTGAGCTGCTCAGTGCTGCCAGAGGCGCTCTGTTAGCAGATAGCAACTTCAGGCTGCCTCATCAAACTCACCATTGTACCAGTGTCACCCACAGTGGGGAAGGGGCTCTCTGAAGTCACTCAGCTGTACAGAGCCAGCTATGAGGCTAGAATTATGAACTGTGATTTTAGAAAGGAGGGGGCTGGTAAAAACTGTGATTTCAGCCAGGGGTAGTGGGGAGGCAGGGGGTTCCAGGCCTGCAGAAGAATGTCAGCAGGGGTAAGTCGGTTTTCTGAGCCCTGAATCACCTGGAAGTCTTGGGGTCTCCTCTCCCTGCAAGGCTCCTCCCAGGGGTGGGAGCTGTCTGGGCCTCACTGCTGTGTTCCCTCCTCCTGCAGTATCCTCTTTGCGGACATCGTGGGCTTCACCCAGCTGTCATCTGCCTGTAGTGCTCAGGAGCTTGTGAAGCTGCTCAACGAGCTCTTTGCCCGCTTTGACAAGCTGGCAGCCGTAAGTCCCCAGGCGCCAGCTGCCCTCAGTCCCTTCCCGGCTCTGCCATGGTCTCCCACTTGCCTTCCTTTGCCACTGCTGTGCCGAGGGATTAGGAGCTCAGGCTGTGCACTGTCCTTTCAGAAATACCACCAGTTGCGCATCAAGATCCTGGGTGACTGTTACTACTGCATCTGCGGCCTACCCGACTACCGTGAGGACCACGCTGTGTGCTCCATCCTCATGGGGCTCGCCATGGTGGAGGCCATCTCGTAAGCGGGAGCCTGCGGCAGGCGGGAGAAGCAGGAGTGGGATACAGCTTGTCCTTGCTCTGGGAAGTCAGGACATGGCTTCCCTTCTTCACAGCCCAGGGAGGTTGCAAGGCTCCACCATGGGGGTAGGGTGGGGGTCAGTGGGGGATGGTGGCAAAGGCACATGAGGCTGGGGGGATGGGACACAGGACACAGACTGTGCCCATCTCCCCACTGGCGGAGCCTGGTGTCTGGTGCCCTTCCTTACCTGGGGCAGCTTTGAACTGTCACCTCTATCAGGTTAAATCCGGTCCTGGCAGCTGGTAAAAAAATGTTCAGGGTTAGGCTGCCTGTGGGGAGGCTGCACTCTCTCCCTGGAGGCAAAGTGCTGAATTTGTAGTTGTTTCTTGCACAATTCTCAAGTAAGGGCTGTTCTTGGCAGTTTTACTCACCTCTGTGTCTGCGGTGCCAAGTTGCTAAACAAAACATTGCCTGCATGAATGAAAAATGAAGGCTCTGAAGAGAAACTGGAGGCCCCTCAGGGGATCATTGTGCCATCCCCCACTACCCCAAATCCTACTGGCCCCTGAGTGCGGAGTACCACTCAGCCCTACTGGCTCAGCCATGGCTGAGATGCAGGCCAAAAGCATCCTGGGCCTCCTCTCCCTGGGAGGAGGGGCGCTCAAGCAAGATTCCTCCTGCAGGGGAAGGAAGGGCCGTGCCCCACACCTCCTTTGTGTGTGCCTGGCAGGTACGTGCGAGAGAAGACCAAGACTGGTGTGGACATGCGAGTGGGCGTGCACACGGGCACTGTACTAGGTGGTGTCCTGGGCCAGAAGCGCTGGCAATATGATGTGTGGTCCACTGATGTCACAGTGGCCAACAAGATGGAGGCTGGTGGCATCCCAGGGTGAGTGCTCCCATCAGGTGGGCAGGTGTCAGCCTCAGGGCTATGGCTCCAAAAGGAACAAGAGCTTGGAGGGGAGGTGTGGTATCTCTTCCCTGCCCTTTCCCCTTCCCCTTGGCTGAGGCCCACGAGGGCCAGTTTTTCCCTCAGGCTCTAGCCCAGGGCTCTCTGCACCTGTGTGTCTGTCAGCTGGCAGACCTGGACCTTGCAGTTGCTCACCTCACCTGAGCCCTTGTGCAGAAGCAGCCCTCAGGGTAGACAGGCCAAGGAGAGGGAGGCAGCCTGTGTGGGGAAGAGAAAGGCAGCTCCAGCTGAGTCCTCAGGCCACAAGGGTGGCAACTGAGACTAAAGCAGGATGGGGAACAATTAGCCCATGCGATAGTAGAGCCCATTGCCAACTTCTGCATTCCTTATTTCTTAGCAGCCCAAGAGTAGAACCATATTCTAAGGGATACAGAGGCTAGGGGAGTGGGTTCTGTGTTGCCCACACTGCTAGGCAGCAACAGGGCTGTCCTGGGGTGGGTGAGGCGGCCTCTGGTGTATGCTCAGGGCCTGTTGCTGGGGTCCAGGCGTGTGCACATCTCCCAGAGCACCCTGGACTGTCTGAAGGGAGAGTTCGATGTGGAACCAGGCGATGGGGGCAGCCGCTGCGATTACCTGGATGAGAAGGGCATTGAGACCTACCTTGTCATCGCCTCCAAGCCGGAGGTAAAGAAGACAGCCACCCAGAACGGCCTCAATGGCTCGGTGAGTCCCCACCCTCCTCCTGCAGTGGAGAGCTGGAAAGGAAGGGCTTCCCAAAAGAACCACTATGGAAGGAGTGCTGGCCATGGAGATGAGGGCAGAGTTAGAAAATGATGCTGAGCCCAAGGAGCAGCATCCCTTCAGGAATAGTGTTCTGGGGGAGACAGTGAGTGTGGTTTATGGCAAGTTGGAATTAGCAGGATGAAGAACCTGCTGAGATGACACCCAGAAGGCAAAGCCACTAAAAATGTGGAAGTGGCTGGGCAGGAGGGGGACCAGGGCCAGGGTTGGTGTCCTGAGTGGGAGGGGAGGAAGGAATGGATGAAAACAGCAGAGGTGCTGTTGGTCCTGCCCTTGGTCTGGTCTCTGGGTCTCCCATATTCCCCCTCCCAAGAACCTGCTCCCAGCACTGGTGTCCAGGCTATCACCTGGTTCTCCTTGTTGTCACTTGTGTCCCTGTGCCTCTGGATCCACTGGTCCCTGGGAAGGGTTTGCTCCAGAACCTGGCACCATTGTTTTTCTTCTCCAAAGTTCTCCCTTTTAATTTGTTCCTTCGGGTTGTTATTGAATTATCTCCAAAGTGACACCCCACCCACTCACCTTGTTGTGGCCTGATTTCCCAACATCCCCAGCATCCTCTTTCTGACTGTCCCCTCCAATCTTCTGTGGACTGCTATTTTTGTGTGGGTATATGAGCTCCAAAAGGCCAGGACACTGTGTCTGTGCTCAGCAAGTAGGTATGAAGCGAATGAATGAGCTGCTCCTCTGCATTCATTTGAACTCACCCCAGCGAGGAACAGTACCACTCATTGGTTTGTGGAGCTTATTCAGGCTCAGTGCATGTGACAGCACCCTCTGCCAGAAGGGACCTCAGAAAGTCACCATCACAGTTACTGTTTTAGAAACAGGTTGGAGCAAGTGGCTCTTTGTCTGCTTAAAATACTTTTAATAGTGGAAATTGATACTAGAAAATGACAGAATTTTAAAATTCATATTCTAGAGCAAGAACTGAATAGAGGGGCCAGGGAGATGGCTCAGTAGAATAAGCGCTTGCCTGGCAAGCACAAGGGCCTGAGTTCAATCCCGGTTCCATAAAAAAAAAAAGAACTGAATAGATTTCTAGGTCACTGAGGCTTCTACCATGTGAGTGGAAGATTCCAGAACAATGGTGTCCATCCACAGGCTGGGATGGGTAACAGACAATGTCTGGGATCCCTGATGCCCACTTCTTTTCACCGCAGGCCATGCCTAATGGAGCCCCAGTGTCCTCGAAGCCCAGCTCCCCTCTCCTTATCGAGACCAAGGAGCCTAATGGCAGCACTCACACCAGCGGCTCCACATCAGAGGAGCCTGAAGAGCAGGAGGCCCAGGTTGGTGTGGGCTCTGGGCAAGGAGGGTTGTTGAGGGTCAGCTGGTGTCCAGGACACTGACTTGGTGCTGCTTCCCTTTACAGTGTAACTGTCACCTCATCAGTTATGAGGGGATGGCACTTGCCTCGGAGGCCTCAAATAACTCAGGTAGCCTAGAATCCTGTAGGTCCAGGTTGGTAGGGACAGGCAGGGAAGGTTCTTCAAGTTCTGAGACTGTTCTGGAGTAAGACTTGGGACCCCAGAAGGTCCACACACAGGAGGGCATTTCTGCAGCCCACAAAGGTAAAGATCAGCATCTGTCCCAAAAGTGGCATGTGTCTCGGGAAAGGACCCGGAGTCACCTGTTGTGAAGGAGCTTCAGCACAGCGGCTGACAGAGACATGGCTGGGAGATATGGCAAGGGACAGAAGGGTTGTCCTTGAGTCCCCTGAGTCAGGCACTGGAGAATGAAAACTGGCTTTTCCTTGAGCCCCTGGCATTTGGTGACTGGTCCATTGTGATGTTCTTGACAGAGTGGACACAGACTTGACGTAACTTGCTAACAAGCACATGGCTTTAGCTGCTTGCACTTCGTGAGTCATAGCAGAAGCCAGTTTTACTCTGCTCTGGGCATGCTCTATGGAGAGGCCTGCAGTGCGGGAAAGGCTAGCCACATCATCACGGGAGAAGGATGGGGCTGAGGGAACCCAGATTCTTGGTCAGACGCAGCCTGTACTACAGCCAGCCTCAGACCCAGAATTCTTGGTGCTGGTTCCCAGATGTGCTCAGTTACTATCTGGACCCCCAGCCTGTAATCCTGTCTGTGGAGTCAGCTGGGAATAAAATGCAGAGGGCGCTCTAGCTCTGCCAGGCCGTTCCTTGCTGCCCACTGGTGTCAGGACATACTTGTTTCTCTCATTGCTCCCTACTCAGATCTTCCTTTTCCAGATGAGCCAGGTCTGATCTGCTTTAATGACTCCCTTAAGCCGGAGAGTTGGTAGTCACTTGACACCCAAGGATGTCACCACATAGGGTTTCATGTGACCCCCTGTTCAGCAGTAGATGAGCCAGCAATGTACTGCCCAAGCTGCTTAGGAGCCAGGGGAACCCCTAACACTGCCATCAGGGACAACACTGCAGGCTGCTGTTAGGGGCCCAGGGACCAGGCGAGACCTCATCCTGATGGAGCACAGGGAAGACTTTCCAGGAGAGTGGGTTTTGGGGCTACAGGGATTGGTCCTCATGAGTCTGACCTCCTGTTGCCCCTCCTCCCCATTACAGGACAACCCCTCCTTCCCCAACCCCCGCCGCAGACTGCGCCTCCAGGACCTGGCTGACCGAGTGGTTGATGCCTCCGAGGACGAGCATGAGCTCAACCAGCTGCTCAATGAGGCCCTGCTAGAGCGGGAGTCTGCCCAGGTGTAGGTGACCACAGGGGACGTGGCCCGAGCCACTGCGCAGGAAGCCATAAGCTGGAAAGGGGAACCCAACCCGGCAGGCTGTGGCAGGTGTGGCCCTTGTGGTTCATGGGTTCGTTTCCACTGCAGGGTAAAGAAGAGAAACACGTTCCTCCTCTCTATGAGGTTCATGGATCCAGAAATGGAAACCCGTTACTCAGTGGAGAAGGAGAAGCAGAGCGGGGCTGCCTTTAGCTGCTCCTGTGTGGTCCTGCTCTGCACTGCCCTGGTTGAGATCCTCATTGACCCCTGGTGAGTACCTGGGAGTGGGCTGCAGGTGTCTCTTTCCCTTTCTGCTGCCTCCTCTCCATCCCTGGGTTCCAGAGCAGCACTAGCACCAGAAGAGATCTCAGCAGGGCCAAGATAGCTCAGGGACACACATGTCCAGGGCGACAGGCCTCTGTGGGTGCTCCCCAGAGGAGTTCCAGGTGAGGGGAGGTATCCTGTGTCAGCCTTAGTCACCAAGGTCAACCTGACTCTCCGTGCTTGTCTCAAATTAGTAAATGGATTCTAGGCTCTAGAACAGACCTGGTCCTTAGTGGTAGATCCTCTGGGGTGTTCTGGAATCCTTGTCTGACAGTGGAAGGACGCCTGTTACCCTCCCAGCAGCTGACTAGCAGTTGCCTCCTGCACAAGGTCCCTCATCAGGCAGGGTGCAGGCTGTGTGGATCTCTGTTGGCATTAGTTTTAGGAGCTGGAAAAGCCATGGACTCTCAGCCACTCCACCTGTTTCTGGATTTGGCACTGTGATGGTCACTGGAGCCAGAGTTTGCTTACCTATAGCAGGGAGCCTATGGTGACACCCTGGCGAGCTCTCAAGATGGTTAGAAGATCAAAGTCATTCATTTTATAAATATTTACTATCTACCCTGTGCCTAGAGATTACAGTCTAGAGGTACAGCAGTGAACAAAACATAGAAAACACTTGCACTTAAGGAACTTGTGTTCTCATAGTTAAGCTATATAGGAGTCCCTCCAAGTTCTCATCTCGGTCCAAGAAGTCAATATTTGTAATCCCAAAGATATGTTATTGGAATCTCATCAAGTTAATTCCAACCTACCACTCTCAGTACAATCCATGGCAAAAGTAAAGACACTAAAACATACTGGAGTCAAGGGGCCCTAGTTCAGCCATGAAGATGGCTTTCGGGAACAAAGGCTGCCCCAGGGCTGCCCCTGGGTTTTATTCAGTGGAGGAACTGTTTGAGGAAGAGAACTGTGAGAAGTAGGTGAGTACTGCAAGCTGAGCTAGGTAGGTGGCCTACACTTACCTCTACCATACACAGAGAAAGTAATTTGCACTATGCTGTTGACATAGTATCTAATGTTTGGGGGATATGGTGCTCAGCCAAAATGGAAACAATCGCTCTTCTTTCAAGAACAGCTGCTCAGGTGGTCCACCATTGAGCTAGGCATGCAGTCAGTAGTGAGTACTGCAGAGGAAAGGAAAGCAAGGAAGGGAGGCAAGAGTAAGGGGCAGAGCAGGCCTCCCTGGCAAGGCAGTACCTCCGTAAAGCCCTGAGGAGGACGAGGAGCAAGGCTTCTGATGTCAGGGGGGCACCTGTGTCAGCAGAGGTGCTGAGGAGCTGTGGGCCTGGCCTCTGGAGGTACAGGAGGGCTGGCCCCTGGGAAGAGGGCATTGTTGGAAGAATGGTGGGAGTAGGGCTGAGTGCTGGGGCCTTAGAGGTAGGGTGGGAGCTCTAGCTCTTGGATGGGAAGTTGCCAGCTGGGGAACATACCTGGAAGGATCCCATACATTGAAAACAAGGGTGGACACAGTGAGACTGAGTAGGAGCTGAATGGCAATGACCCACACTTGGGCCTGGCTGAAGTTAGGAAAGACAGGGCGAGTGGTTTTTTCTTTTTTTTTTGGCAGAACCGGGGATTGAACTCAGACCCTTGCACTTGCCAGGGAAGCGCTTATTCCACTGAGCCATCTCCCCGGCCCCAGAGAGGATAGATTTTGAAGGCATTTTGGAGATAGAACTGATGGGATTTGCTGACAGGTTGGTTGTGGGGTGTGAAATACTGGAGTCAAGATGTTGTCAAGGTTTGTGACTGAAAAGCTGGCAGGAAGAAATCAACCTTAACCAAGATGCGCTATAGGCAGAGGAGCACTGGCGGATAGAGCCCAGCAGCTGGGTTTTGGCCATGTTTAGTTTGAGAAGCCTACAAGACAATGAGCAGCATTCCTGAGGCCTGGGGAAGGTGGCACTGAACTGCACACATAGGGAGTCATCCATATGCAGGGCACACTGAGACTGTAGGGCTTGACATGGCCATCAAGGGAGAGGAAGGCATAGTAGTATGATGGGAGGCAGAACAAAGCAGCAGGGACTGATGAGATGCAGAAAACCAAGTGGGAAAATGAAGGTGGAGTAAGAGGTGAACTCAAATAGGGCACTGGAGCTAGTGCCATGGTTTCTGGGGCTCTTGGTAGAGCACTCTCCATGGAGGACAGAAAGAGGCTGGCTGTGAGAGGATTTAAATGGCAGGCTTGATGCACAAGCAACCTGTCTGCTGAGGCCCCATGTGGGAGGGATGACACAGCAGCCTTCCACTGGCAGATGCTTATTCCCAGGAATCCCTTCCTCAGTTTTTTTTTTTTTTTTTTTTTTTTGAACCAGGGATTAAACTCAAGCCCTTGCGCTTGCCAGGGAAGCGCTTATTCTATTGAGCCATCTTCCCGGCCCGCTTCCTCAGCTTTTATTGGGCCGTGTCCAGGGCACATGCGACCCTTCCCACATCTGAGAAAGGTCCTGGTGAGACAATTAGAGCCAAGGAGGTGGTGCATGCCCAGGCCCTGTGCTGGGAGATGTTCTAGTTCCCTGGTATCACGTGGAGCTTCTCAGGCATGGGCTGTACAACGCTTATCCATATAGTCTCCAAGCTTTTCACTCAAACTCACTGTTCCTTTGGGTTGTTCTCCAATTATATTCTCTGTGCCACAGGCTGATGACAAACTATGTGACTTTTGTGGCTGGGGAGATCCTGCTGCTGATCCTGACCATCTGCTCACTGGCTGCCATCTTTCCCCGGGTGAGAAGCAATTTTCTCTTGGGCTCAGAAGCTTCTGTGAAACTGGGCACTGAGGAGGTTAAGCTTCTTGTCAAATTCTGATAGTCTCCTGTTAGGACACGCTCTCCCGGGTTCAGCCATTTTATCCATCTGCCCCTCTCTCCATCCACTGCCCACCAGTGGGGCACCAGGCTGTGTACTGGCTGCACACAGAAGGCAGTCTGGGTCAAGGAAGAAGCTTATGGGTAAAAAGCAGAGGAGGCCTAGCTGGAATGTGGGCTGGTTCCAGTTGTGATAGATGTTAAAACCCAGCCTGGAATTGGGACACTGTTGCATGGGACACCTTCTGGCATGAAGGTGCCAGACATTTTCTGATGAGAATGACAAAGAAAAAGCAGTGTTTTTGGGAAAATAATCTGACAGGTGGCTTTCCAAATAACTGGGGTGGGGATTTTGGGGTACTGATTCAGGAAAAGTAGGGGAGGTGGCTAGGCAGACAGCCCTAAGAATGTTTCCTTGCCCTTGTCTGAGAGTTAGCCCCAAGCCTCCTGGGATAGTATCTTCTGTGCCAGGGAGTGCGACTCAGAGGCCATGGGATTGCACACGTGATGGCTGACACAGAGCCCCTGGACTCCTGCACTTTGCCCTCAGCGTGGCCTCACTTTGTCAGGTTTCTTGAGGCCCTACCTTACAGCAAGGCTTTACTTTTTAGATCCCTGAGCTTAGAGTATGGGAGCAAGCAGTCATCAGCCACCAAGTGTGCGAGTGTTATCAAAGGCTCGGGCCCTTGCAATTCCCTTCCTCCTAGGCCTTTCCTAAGAAGCTTGTGGCCTTCTCGACTTGGATCGACCGGACTCGCTGGGCCAGGAATACCTGGGCCATGTTGGCCATCTTCATTCTGGTTATGGCAAACGTTGTGGACATGGTGAGCTCCTGCTGGGCCTGTGGTGGCCCCCAGGTGCTGGTGGCACCTAGATTCCTAGCCTGACTACCCCAGTTAGTGGCCTTGCTACTGTGGCTTTCCCTGCTTAAGTGGTGTAATATTGATCAGCCCTCGGCACATGTGAAGTATGACTCACAGTGTGGCTGGTGCTAGGTGTCCATGGGGGTGGGGAGGTGACCCTTTATCATCAATGGTCTGCACCTGTTTACCCTCCTCCCAGAGCCAGGCCTTCCCAAAGCTGGGTTTATGGGACTGCACCCTCGCAGGATCCAGGTGGCCAGGGCAGGCAAATCACCTTTGTCCTCTGCTCTCTTCAGTCCCCGGAGAAGCTGGGGTCCTGAGCGGACAGCCAGGTGTGTTCCTGGGGAGAAGGCCCAGGGGTCAGAAGACCAGATCTGTTGCTTTGGAGCCACAGGCATTTTATTGAGCCCTGAGTGTTTGGAACTGTTGATAACTCTGATCTCACAGCTTCTTCCACCTTCAGAAGTACCACATACATGCTCTTAAAAGCCCTTTTTTATCGGGACATGATAGCTCATGCCTATAATCGCAGCACTCTGGGAAGCTGAGACAGGTGGATCTTCAGCAGAACCTTATTTCAAAATGAAAAAACCTTATTTCAAAATGAAAAACAAAAGAGCTGGGGATGTAGCTCAGGGCAAAGGCCCTGGGTTCCATTCCCAGTACCATCCAAAGAAAAATAAGTCCTTAAAAACATAAATTTATTTGCAATGTTTTCTTAACAATTTCAGATCAGGAATAAAGGCAAGGAGACATACAGTGGCAGGGGTATGAGTGACAAGTCTGGTCTGATAGGAACCAGGAGTTAGCATCAGGGCCAGGTGATCCCATGGGCAGCCCCGCCACCCCAAGGGGAGGAGCTGAGCTCATGTGTGTTGAGCACACAGAGGCTGGCACCCGTTTGTGGACCACTGGTTAGTGGGTTTCAGATGCTAGACATGTGTAAGAACTCTGCATGTGTTAGAATTAGGGGTCGGAGAGATGGCTCAGTAGAATAAGCGCTTCCCTGGCAAGTGCCAGGGTCTGAATTCAATTCCCGGTTCCGCAAAAAAAAAAAAAAAAAATGTTATATGAATGCTGAGGCTTTTTGCCCAAAGGAGCTGAAAGTTAGAGGAAAAGGTTTGTTTTGGCTTAGGGTACACTATGCCACATTTGTCCTGCAGTATAGCTGGTGAAGAGGCTCCAGGAGGGCAGGAACTCCTAGCCCAAATATGGACATGACTGGCTGCTGCCACAGGGAAGCTGAGTGGGCACTGGTGGCCTCACAGCCACTCTTGTGAAGTGTGAAGCTTGAAGACCTGGCTCCTGTTCTTGCTGTATTGCTTGCTAGTTGTGTGACTAAGAGCAAATTTCTGTGAAACTAGTTTCTAGTTTCACAGAAACTAATCATCTCTGAGGCCACCCTGGGAGAGCTGTGGTGGCCCCTGGAGCAGAGCTTCTGTGCTGGTAGCCATTCCTCTGCTGGCAGGTGCTGGTGGCACCTAGATTCCTAGCTGATTATCCCAGTAAGTGGCCTTGTTGCTGTGAAAATAGTGATTTTGTTGAACATCAAATGAGGCGACAGTAAAGCTCTTTTCATGTTATATGCTGGTGCATCTCTGCATCCTTTTCCGTGTTTCTGAGGTAGGGCAGGGTGGGGTGGGGCAGGGCAGGCAGCTGAATGGCCACTGTCCTGGTGTAGCCCTCTCTGAATCTGTCATTTCCTTTCCCTGCTGTCCGGGTGGACAGCTCAGCTGTCTCCAGTACTATGCCGGATCCTACAATGTAACTGCAGAGCCAGAGCTGGAGGGTAGCTGCCTGGAGAACCCCAAGTATTACAGCTACATTGCCGTGCTGTCTCTCATCGCCACCATCATGCTGGTGCAGGTCAGCCACATGGTGAAGCTCACGCTCATGCTGCTCGTCACAAGCGCAGCGGCCACCATCAACCTCTACACCTGGCGCCCTGTCTTTGATGACTATGACCACAAACGCTTTCAGGAGCATGCGTAAGATGGAACCTGACTGGGGATCTGCATGGTCTCCTTCCTCCCACCCTAAGTCCCCTCTCTGCCTTGGTGACTTTCACTGGTGTGGAAGAAGGGCTTGTGTCTGCTCACAGACAAGTCACTGGTTGGCTCTGATGTGGCAACAATCTTTTCCATGTCAATGAATGAAGACCTAGAATACCTCAGGTCGGCTGAGCAAGGCTTCTTATCCCAGGTATGGCCTGAGCGTTTCTCTCTTTCCAACAGCTCTCCCAGGGTGGCCTCAGAGATGGTGCACGTACTTTCTACACTTGGGCTCAATGGCACAGACAGGTAAGGGCCAGGGTCACTGCATTTCCCCATCCTCCACTTAAAGCCCTTCCTCTAGAGACACAATTCAGTGGCCAACACCGCAACATCTTGCTCCTTTATAGTTGTATGACCTACAGCATACAGGCTAGAGGATCAGGCATATGTGCCCCAAGGGCTGTGGTAGAAGCAGAGGGATTCTAGCTTGGACTCCAGTCCAGGGCTGTCCTGCACCAAAGACAGTGACATTAGGGAGCAAAGAAGTGTGGTGGGGTGGGCTGAGGGTGGGTGCAGGTGAACTGAGAAAGAAATAACATTAAGGAAGATCTGGACGGTCAGTTGTCCTCTGTGGGCTCAAAGGCAGGTCTCACATTCATCTCTTGACACAGAAGAGGTTCTCTAAGGGTCCTTTCTAACTACAGCTTAAAGTGTTTTATGATTCAGTCATTGAAAAGATCTTCAAGTTAAGACTTTTTTAGAAAAGTATTACTTAGTAGAGAGTAGGTAAAAGACTCAAATAGCCCTTTCATGAAAAAGTTTAACTGGCCACTAATAAAAGGCATTCAAATAGTCAGATGCCATTAAAAAGCCATAACAGTATACACACTAGTTTGGAAAAAACTTAAAAAATCTGAGATCAAGTTTGGTGGTAACTCATATGCCTGATAGCAGTATAAATTGGTGGAACTGCTTTTGGAAACAATTTGGGATTATTTAGTAAAGTTGAAAATAATCCTGTGACCCAGCAATTTTGCTCCTATATATACAACCTCAAGAGAAATGCATGCAAATATGTCCAAGGGAGGTGTATAAGGTCATCCATTATAGTAATGTTTGTAATAAGCAGACACACATGCACCAAATGGAAATTCAGATGACAACATGAAATGGATAAATTGTATATTCATACATAATACTACACAGTAACAGAAATTAACTGGAGTGCCACACAAAAATATGGATAAAGCTAGGAAAGCCATGTTAAGACTGTGCCTTAATCCCTATGAAGTCCCACCACTTCAATGTTGGTTTTCCCTTTCTCCAAAATCTTACAAGCTAGTATCCATTTCTGGGATCAGTCAGAAGCTACAGTGGCTATTAAAAGGGTCTGGGAGTTCACCCTGATGGCCACAGTCTTGAGAAAGCTCTGCTGCTTCCAGGGAACCAGAATTCAATATGAAGGGGCCTAACAGGGTAGGGGAAACTTCTGAGGCTTAGCATGGCATGAAACCACCCAATTATAGGGGTTCCCCTTTCCTGGAGGGCAGGCCATGGGCTCCTTCAGTTACTTTCCTATCTGCTGGCAGGCTGCCCCTGATGCCTTCGAAGTACTCGATGACAGTGATGATATTCATCATGATGCTGAGCTTTTACTACTTCTCCCGACACGTGAGTGCCCCCACACTCTCCTGTCTTCCTGTGCCCAACCTTCAAGTCTCTAAGACAGCACAGGTCTGAGGACCCTGGTACCTAAGGAAAGCCAGTTTCTTTTTTTAGTGTAGTGTGGGACCCTGGGGAAGCTACTACCTTCTCCATTTCTCAGTAAGGTTTCTTTCTCAGTAAGCAAAGGAAACACTTCTGTATTTCATCCTCTGACCTCTGGGAACCTGAAGTATGGAGGCTGGGTGTCAGAGGGCTGGCACAAAAGCTTGGGTAAATCTACTCCATAAGCCAGGGCTAATGGCCTTACCCTACTATGGAAGAAGGGAGGTAACACAGATACCCCAACATTCACACCAGAGCAAGAGGAGAAAGGAAGAGGGCTGAGAAAGGTTTTGTGGTTAAAAGAGAAAGGGTGGTATCCATGTAAGGATTCCATGTTAGCTTGGGTGCCGCCCAGTGGTATGTCAAGGGATGTACAGCCTCCCTCAGCTACTTCCCTGCCAAATGGAGTTGTGGAAAATGAGACCTTAGTTCCTGGTTGGGAGATCCTGGCTCCTCGACCCAGCTACCTGCAAGATAGTCCTGAAGCTAAAATGAGGATCCTAAGCTGATTTTATGCATGAATACCTTCTGGATCTCAGCTATAACCTGAGGCTGGGGTCCTCACTTGCTGTGGGCCAAACCTACGAGGGTGACCTTCCTTGTCATTTACCCACATCCTTTTAGTTTTTCTGAGTGGAAATCATCCACTTATGTCCCAGCGCCACTCTTGAAGTGCCAGCTTTAGAGTACACACCTTGCCTGTGCTTCTATCTGTAGGTCGAAAAACTAGCCCGGACACTGTTCTTGTGGAAGATTGAGGTCCACGACCAGAAGGAACGTGTATATGAGATGCGACGCTGGAATGAGGCCTTGGTTACCAACATGTTGCCTGAGCATGTCGCTCGGCATTTCCTTGGGTCCAAGAAGAGAGATGAGGTAGGGGGTAAGCCCTACAGGCTGGGACCAGGAGCTGAGCTATTTGTCTTCTTTTGCTCTTCCTTCTGGGAGTGCCTAGGGCCCAGAGCAGCAGCATTAGCAGCAGAAGGGAGCAGGGCCACTTGTGAAGGACACCTGTAGACCCTGCTCAGGAAGCCACAGCGGAGGCCCCATGCAGAGGATGGGACTGGGCTGTGTCCTGCTTCTGTCACTGTGATCTTCTGAAAGCAGCATGGGGTCACCAGCTCCACAAACCCTCTTTTCTCAAGAGCTGGGTTGTTGCAAGAGCTGGCAGTGCTGTTTTTCATTTATTCCAAGTTGTGATGAGCTATGCTGTCACTATTCAAAATTGGGATCATCTGAGAGGAGTCTGGGTCTGAGTGTATGTATCGTGTATGGGGAAGTGCACACTTGGGTCCTGCCTCTTTTTCAGGAGCTGTACAGCCAATCCTATGATGAGATTGGAGTCATGTTTGCCTCTCTGCCCAACTTTGCTGACTTCTACACTGAGGAGAGCATCAACAATGGTGGCATTGAGTGTCTGCGGTTCCTCAATGAGATCATCTCAGATTTCGACTCTGTGAGTGCCCTCCTGCCCCTCCTGTTAGTTAACTCATCCTAGGTAGATCACCTCTTGGGACAGAAGTCAGAGAAGTGAGTAACTGCACTGGCTCCATTTCCCCGTCACATCTGTGCTTCTTTAGTTACACAGAACTGCTTGTTCTGAGGGTATGGGAGCCTGGGAATCACATAAGGACCAGCCAACAGACCTGCAGGTGCCAGGACTCCTCCTGCCCCCAAACTCAGATTCATTAAACATTGTTGAGTACTGTGTAAGCCAGGGTATATATTTTTACATATGTGCTCAGTTATCCCCAGGAGAGCTGGCAGTTGTAAGGTTGTGGAAACTGAGCCTCAACAAGTTAGGCAAGGAGCATGTGGCAGGCAGGTGTAGTGAGTGAGCTTTTTTTAGGATAGTCTCTTGGCTGCTTTGCAGGGTCCTCATAAATGGACAGATCTATGAGTTGACTCACATATCACCTTGCTTCTGCCTCTCTTCTCTTTGCTTAACCCTGGTCTCAGCTCCTAGACAACCCTAAATTCCGGGTCATCACCAAGATCAAAACCATCGGCAGCACCTACATGGCCGCTTCAGGAGTCACCCCAGATGTTAATACCAATGGTTTTACCAGCTCCAGCAAGGTACAGGCATTGGAGAGGGGTCAGGATTCTGCCTAAGGGGAAGAAACAGGCAGCAAGTGAGAAATGAAATTACATAGATAAAACAGTAACCTATTTTGTACTGTTGTACAAAGGGCTCTGAAACACATAGCATCAGGATATCAGTGCAGAGATAGAAGAGGCTCACGGAGAAAGTAATGAGTAGAGAAACAGCAGAGTAGACAAACCCTATCTATCACTGTGCTGCAGGGGAGGTTGTACAGGGCTCAGTGTGTAAGGTGACTGAGCCCCTTTCAGGCTGTACACTTGATGAGAATAGGGAACAGGAGCCATTCCCACAGTGAAGGCCTAAAGTGGGGAACTTGAGAACTCAATGGCTTCCGTGGTCTGTCCTTTTGCTGAGGTATACTAAGCTGTACAGCCACTGTTTAGCTCCCAGAAGGTTGGGAAATGAACTAAGGGGGCCTGGTGCCCAGCACTATTCATCACCCTGCTTCACACTGACAACTGCACCATAATGGCAGTGCTTAGCACCAGGTTTCCAGGGTTCATTTCCCATTTCTGGGTGACATAAACAAAGTTGGGCAAGGGCCTCAAAGGTCTATAAAAACTACCTGAATCCAAATAAGAACAACTACATAAAAATCTAAAGACCAGGTAACCGGGTGGTGAAGAGACCTGCCTCATGAATGAGTACATAGCAAGCAGGGAGCAAGTTGGATAGACTGTCTTTCCCACCACCACAGCCTAGTCTGCCCTAGGCCTGCTAGTAGGACCTGTGTGATGTGCAAGTTTTTTGTACAGTGGCATGCTGGAACTAAAGCAGGAAGGAAAAAAATGCCACTAACAACTAGTTGTAGGAATTGCCCTAGAATGCTGCTATAGGAAAGCAGCAAGTGAGACTGCCACCACACAGGTACAGCCTGGACAGCACCTGATACTTTTACGACTGCTCAATACAGGAGGAAAAGTCAGACAAGGAGCGCTGGCAGCATCTGGCTGACCTGGCAGACTTTGCACTTGCTATGAAGGACACCCTTACAAACATCAACAACCAGTCCTTCAACAACTTCATGCTGCGCATAGGTAAGTGCTTCAGACTGCCTGCCCTTCTGGTACTAAGACCAGCAGGAAAGACCAGAGGACCCCACAGACTAGGCACATGTAGTGGGGAACAGTGGCCTCAACACACAAAATGAGTGGAGACCTGAAAAGCAGTCATCTGCTATCACATCAGAAAACTGAGTGATGAAATAGTCAAGAGAGACCTGGCCCTACTGATAGTGAAGCCCAACCTGGCTAGGAAGTCTGTTGTCTGACTTTCCAAGATCTAGATCATCCTTCCCTTTCAAGAGAATGAGCTTCACCTGCCACTTTCTGCTGGGGTGTGTGTGTTAGGGAAGCTGACCACTGCCACCCCCCTGAGTAAATTCATCAGCATACCAGAGCAGCCAAAATTTGCTAAGGCCCTGGTGAGGAGAGGGTAAGCACACATGACTTCTGGTACCTTAGAGATAATGACTTAACAAAGAACATGGGTGTCATGTAAGCAGCTCTGTGGTAAGGGTCCGGGGCAGACTCCAAGAGGAGCAGTTGCTTCTGAGCAGGTAATGAATGCCTGGTGTGTAGTTGTGCTTAACTTTATGTCTCCTACCCTAGGCATGAATAAAGGAGGGGTTCTGGCTGGGGTCATTGGAGCTCGGAAACCACACTATGACATCTGGGGCAATACAGTCAATGTGGCCAGCAGGATGGAGTCCACAGGGGTGATGGGCAATATTCAGGTATGTCCAGCAACAGAGCTGAGTGTCCTCAGATGCAGGGAACAGGACAAAGGAAAGCAGAACATGTGCTCTCTAGCAACTGTTGCCTCCTGCTGTTGGCCCAGCCTCTAACTTATTTGCAACACTAAGGCTTACCTTCTAGGGGAGAGGAGCCACTCCCCAACAGTAGTTTTCCCTGAGCAACCCCAGTCTGTCACCTGGGCCTGCCAGAAAAGCTCCACAAAATAGGCACTGGATTAGGAGAACAGGGAGGGAAAGTATCTGGCCCATGTCCCACATGAGCAACCAGAAGACTATCTTTGGGAAATTGGATGGCTCTGGAGCAGTATTCCTGGGTTCCATGTCCCTCAGCCCAACCCCCAGGGAGCTGGAACAGAGTCCCTATGCTAAGACTCCACTCCCTCCCTGACCCAAGCCCTCTTCTTCTATTCTTCATGTGCAGGTGGTGGAGGAAACACAGATCATCCTTCGAGAGTATGGCTTCCGTTTTGTGAGGCGAGGTCCTATCTTTGTGAAAGGGAAGGGAGAGCTGCTGACCTTTTTCTTAAAGGGACGAGACAGGCCACCTGCCTTCCCCAATGGCTCCTCTGTGACACTACCCCACCAGGTGGTGGACAATTCCTGAATGGCCTCTGGCTCCACATGGGATGGAAGAATTTATTTTTTTGGAACGGAACAAAAGCATTGGGAAAGGGCAAATAACCAAGTCCCAGTGTCCTCAAATTGCTGAAGTACACACTCCCATAGACTTTAGGTTTAAGAATCTCAAGCCTTTATCTGTTTGTGGATATGTAAGCTCTGAGGGTGGCCGTACTATTCTTCAGTGTGCCTGTAGCTTCCCCAGAGTAGGAGTCTTAGGCATAGTATTGGAGCAGCCCTGCCAGAGCCCTTGTTGCCACTCAGGCCTCCTCCCCCAGAGAGGCCATGGCCACTGTGAGCATAAGCGGAGCAGAGGTGGAGCCAGCTGCCTGTGCCACTAGGCTGGGAGAAGTAAAGGTCAGTCCTTGGCAGGGCCAGGCGCTGCTGGAGGATGATATACCTCTGGCTGGAATTGACAGCTGAGCTATTGTGAAGGGGATTCCCCTGGAGACTTGGCTGTGTCTCCACATGGTCCCAGTTAGGTGAAATGGCCCTTGTCCTGATAATCTTGAAAGGTTCTTCTGGAACCCTGTCACCTTAGTCATGACCAGCAGGAAAGACCAGAGGACCCCACAGGGAGCTGAAAGTGCAATATTTCCTTTCATCTGGTGGGGGGAGGGGGGATTATTTCTGAAAGAAAATTATATAAACAGATATACATTTATATTTTTAACCTGTTAAAAAAACACTTTCCAATATTGCCTTGCCTTTTGAGCTCTTGCTACAGTCGCCTTTGCTACTGCTTTAAAAGAGAATTTACAGGTATTGACAAAGAACAAGACTGTTTTATTAAAAGCTTTACTCAACTTAAATGGGATCACTGTGGAAATTCTGTTAATGTGTCTCACTAAGTGCTTTGCAGATTCAAACCACTGGTGGCCACTACATGCCTAGAAGGCAAGAGCTTGACGTGAGGCATCCCTTTATTCTTGAGCTGTTGTTTTCTAAAAGGCAGCCAAGCTGATTCACCATCTCCAGAGTTTACTGAAGCTCCCACACATGCCAGAGCCTCATGAGCCTGTGGTCTAGAAGTGGCCATGAGTCCAGCGCTGGGCCTGGCATGGTGATGCTCCCTATCCATCTGAGAGTGAGCAAAGAAGGGACAGGAATTGTGAGAACATGACCAGCTAGACAGAGGTTTTACAGCTGTCATCTGGCCGCTAAGCCAAGAAGAAAGTGCCAGCACACTGTAGGCTCCAGGGTGAAATAGTACACCAACAGGCCAAGGAGGTAGGGATGAAGAGTTCAGGGTCAGGAAAGTCACAGCTGGGGTGTGCAGAAGGAACCAGAAAGGGGGAGGGCCTATGACTGAATTTCTGGGCAGATGTCTAACTGTGCTTTTTCAAAGTGACTTCTGCCTAGCTGTTACTTGCTTAGCTGTTATTTTATCCAACAGTATTTTACTATACCATATTCCTTATGGCCTAAAATATTGCTCCAAACAAAAGATTACATACATTTAGGGGCCGGGGAGATGGCTCAGTAGGATAAGCGCTTGACTGGCAAACGCAAGGATCTGAGTTCAATCCCCGGTTCCGCAAAAAAAAAAAAAAAAA